TTGTTCACCATCATACAAATCCTTTTGTCTTAATTCCTGCATTCATACTGAGCCTCACACTTATAACCAAGCCACAAAATCTGATCATTGGATATAAGCCATGAATTCTGAATTACAAGCACTTGCCCAAAATCATACATAGAGTCTAGTTGATCTTCCACATGGAAAAAGACCTATCGGTTGCAAGTGGGTTTATCGAATTAAGTACAAATCAGACGGATCTATTGAGCGTTATAAGGCTCGCCTTGTTGCAAAAGGCTTTACTCAATTGGAAGGAGTAGATTATCTAGATACCTTCTCTCCAGTAGCTAAATTGACATCCATTCGCACACTACTGGCTATTGCTGCAGTCAAGGGTTGGCATTTAGAACAATTAGATGTGAACAATGCCTTTTTGCATGGTGACCTCCATGAAGATGTTTACATGGAGTTACCCCAAGGTATTTCCTGTGATCGTCCACATCAAGTTTGTAAGCTTCACAAATCCATTTATGGCTTGAAGCAAGCAAGCCGTCAATGGCATTCTAAGCTCACATCAGCACTCCACTCCATTGGCTATACACAAACTCATGCTGATCATGCAATGTTTACTCTCCAAAATGTTACTTCATTCACAGTGCTACTAATCTATGTAGATGACATAGTACTTTCTGGAAACAACATGGACGAAATTCAATGAGTTAAAAGTTTCCGTGATAATAAATTCAAAATCAAAGATCTTGGCACTCTTAGATTCTTTCTAGGACTCGAGGTTGCTCGTTCTAGCACTGGAATTCATTTGAATCAATGCAAATATGCGTTAGATATATTATCTGATGAAGGTATGCTTGCTGCAAAACCTCTCAATACACCAATGGAATCTACTGCAAGACTTAGTCGGGAATCAGGTGTCCCATTATCTGATGCTTCACCCTACAGAATACTAGTTGGCAGATTGCTTTATCTAACTACAACTCGTCCTGATCTTAGCTTTGCTGTTCAACAGCTTAGCCAATTTGTCTCCAATCCCTTGGATTCTCATCTTGCTGCTGCCAAACGAGTGTTACGATATCTCAAAGGGGCACCATCTACAGGCCTCTTCTTTTCTTCAAAATCTGACTTATCAGTATCTGGTTTTGTTGACTCTAACTGGGCAAGTTGTCAGGATACCCGTAAATCTATTAATGGATTTTGTATTCTAATTGGTGGTTCTCTTGTATCATGGAAATCTAACAAACAATCCACCATTTCAAGATCTTCTTCAGAGGCAGAATACAGAGCTCTTGCAAGTATTTCCTGTGAGCTACAATGGCTTAAATTTCTTTTTCAAGATCTTAAGATCCCATGGACACGCCCAACCTCAGTATTTTGTGATAACAGATCAACAATATATTTGGCCAAAAATCCCACGTTTCATGAGCGATCGAAACATATTGACATTGATTGTCATGTCACTAGAGAGAAAATACAACCAGGCCTTCTCCATTTGCTTCCCATCTCCACATTTCATCAACTAGCAGATGTATTCACCAAACCACTTTCCTTTGCTTCATTCTCTGCTATTCTCCTCAAGCGGGGGTTGCTAAACATCCACCGTCCAGCTTGCCGGGGGGGGGGGGGTATCACACCTATCAAAGGTCCCACATGTATCCCAAGCTTACTCTGATCATGAACCAAGAAGTGCTACTAACCATGACAGAAACAGAATTAGTTAGTTTTCTGTTTCAAGGTTTGTTTAAGTTAGTTAGACGTTAACTAACGATTAGTTAACGTAGTTCCTTCTGTAACACACTTCATATAAATTCATACTTAGCACTTGTAATGACTTAGTTTTTCATTATTCAATACAATGAGTTTTATCAGATTTGTTATTTAAAGTTGCATTATTTTCTTTATTTAAAAAAAACCCTAAAGTGAGTTAAGTCTTATGTTTTTCCATTTTTCGCATCTAAATTTTAAATTCTCTAACCGATTTATCTCGCTCTCTACCTATTCAATCAATTTTTACCTAAAAAAATTATTTAACTATGTTAAGTGTATTATTGATATTAAAGCACTTTCATTTATTTATTTTTATAAACCTGAAGATATCTTCATTCAACTTTTTTCCGCCACTTTGTCTTTAGAGTACGGCCCCAAAATTTACTTTCTTATTAGAACAACGGATACATTGAACTTTGATAGCAGAGAAAAGATAAGGCTAATTCCTCCTAAAAAAGAGAGACAAACTTTTGAAAGCTCAGTTGTCAATTGAACTACCATTGGGGTTTAGTACTTTCATTTATTTATATTGAATAAATTATTTTCTTTAAATTATGTTAGTTTAAATCACATGGTTTGATCTAAAAAATTCTAATAAATATTTTTTTTTAAAATTAATTAGGCTGACCCACCAACATAGTAGGTTAAACCATGCCTCCCCTTTGTTTCAAATTAAATCGAATCGGGTGAAGTGAGAGTTGATTGACTCACATTATCAGCTCTTCCCTAACTTTCACTTCTCCCCATTAAATTTTTTTGCAGATTAAGACAGGACACAACACATTGGATTCGGAGGAAAAAAAACAAAAGTAAGCTATCATGTGACTTTGATCTTCTGCTCGCATCATTAAATAACTTTTTTAGCTGTATATTAATATTTTTTTGTAACTTTTTTTCAATTTTTTTTTACAAACTAAAACTATAGAGATAATTTATATTGTTATACGCATATTCTAAATAAAATATTATAAGAAATAATGTACAAATGATACTCAATTTTTAAATATTTTTAATAAATTAAAATCTTTGTAAACCTTAAATTAATTTTGCAATTAATTATAAAGTTAAAAGTAATTCTTATTATTTATATTCAATTCAATTTCACGTACTGAATTTTATTGATCCGGGGAATTCTCAACCGTCAATTAATTTGGCGGTGTATTGAAGAAAAAGAACCAAAATTTCTTCGATACGCTTTAATGTCTGATAAATTATTTATATTTATTTTTATAATGATATCATTTTGCGTCAAAAAATTAAAAAATTAAAATGAGAAAAATAATTATAATTTTGAACTAAATTATAATTATAAAATATCTTGATTTTTGTTTAAAACGACGTCATTTTAAACTCAATATAGATAACTTATTTACGTTGATGGTAAAAAAACAAACTCTTTATTAAATAGGGATTTTTTTCTCATTTTAATCCTTTTTTCTAGTATGGATGTAGGTACTCCTTCTTATGTGCGAACAAGCTCTGGGGAAAAAAAAAATGTTGTATATGTGTTGCACACCGACCCATTTCAATACATTCTAACACGCGATTAATATTTTTTGATACGCGATCAATGCTCCAATATGCTTCTTATGAAGTTGACATTTTTCGACACACGATCAATGTTTTCTACACATTTTTTATCTATATTTTATTTTATTTTTATCTTTTTGACTAAACATGAAAAATTAATTCATAAATCAAATATTTTCTATTATGAAGTTTGACTTAAAAATGAGTAAGGCATAAAAAATTATTTTTTCTTTATATATATGATACGAAATTTGAATATTTGATTGATTATATGACTTATTATGAGCTGCTATGTGTATCAAATTTAAACTATATTATATATATTAAAAATATTACTTAATATCAAAATGTGTCTTAATGTGCCAAAATCTAACATTTTTTAGAATTAATGTGTCGGCGTGTCATATTGTGTCGTGTCCTATATCGATATTGGTGCAATCATGGTAGCTAAAATATCAATTTATTATTATGATTTTATATTTTTATATTTTTTTATCAAAACAATTTTATCAATATTTTAAAGACTTTTATATTTTTAATTTTTTTACATTACAATTTTTTGTTCCTTTTTTATTTTACGTAAAATTTGGATTTTAATTACTTTGATGCAACATAGGATATTCCCACCATGCCAAAGGTTTCTTTTAAAAAAAAAACAAAAAACAAAAACATGCACGGGACCACCGGACGTGCCACTAACTGGTAACTGCAGAGCCATGTAATGGGGACCATTTACCTAAGATGTCCATTCAGATAAAGAAAAGTTAAGAATTTTTCTTAAGAATAAGTTGATAATAAAATAATATATATCAACTTTTAATTAAAAAATAACATTATAAATATTTAATTTTTTTGTTATTTATAAAAATAATATTTTAAATGATAATAATGTTATTTTTAAAAAATTGTAACATATATATTTAATTTATACAAATCTTAAATATTGAAAAAATAATACATATATTATATTTAAAACAATACCAAAATCATTTAGAAATTCCCCAAGTTTTATGCTTCGGAGTTCGGATGGACATGACATGCACCTCACTCTGGTCTGCTGTATACATCTAAGCCACACATGAATCTATGGCTTGGTAGCATTATTTATTTGGTTTATGTAGCTTTTTACTCAGTTTTATTTATGAAATAATGTTTTATATAATATGAAATAATTTTATTTTATATATATAAATACAAAAATTACTCTTATATAACTTTTTCTTCTACAAACTCTTAAATAATTGTGTCACCTTTTTCTTTTATTTTTCAGGTAGTGGAGCCCACAAATTTGTCTTTATGACATGAGATAATTTATCTTTTTTAACATGAGATTAATAAAATTCATATAAATAATAGATGAGATTCATTTTTATTTTTCTCTAGTTGCTTTTTAGTGGGTTCTATACAATTTTTTTTTTTGTATTACATGTACATCGTTCATAAGAAACGTATTGCGCTTTATTTATGGGTTTTATATGGCGTAGGAAAAGTAATTGTGTAATGTTATAGTGATTTATTTTAGGTGTCATAATTTTTTTTTTCTTCAATGGGTCCTATAAAATATTATGTGTATAGAAAAATTTGTTATATCATATTAAATGATAAATGCAAATACCTTTATTTATTCAGTACAATACAATCCCAATAAAGGACAACAGATTCAGACAAATATTTCACTAATGCCTATAAAACCAGCTTCTTTAATATTTCCAAGCAAAGCACATACTCATCCGAAACTCTCTCACACAACACACACACAGAGAATGCCACCCTCTTACTGTGTGACGGAGAGGAAACCCTGTGTGGGATGGGTTGAGAAATATTTCCAAGACTGTCTTTGCGATCTGAGAGATAACATCTCGTTCAGTTTGGGGCTCATCAGTCTTATATTTTGGGGTGTAGCAGAAATTCCTCAGATAATCACTATTTTTCACACCAAGTCCAGCCATGGAGTGTCCCTTGCTTTTCTCCTTGCTTGGGTCGCCGGGTTTGTCAACTCTTTTCTTTTCTTTTTCTTTTTCTTTTTCTTTTCATTCATTTTATGAAAGAACATAATCAACTTTAGGATTAGGTTCACTAAACGAGACACTAATTAGCAGCTTAATTGTTGGTTTCGGTTTGTTTAAAAATATTTTTCATTTTAATGCAGTGACATATTCAACCTTCTGGGTTGCATTCTGGAACCAGCTACGGTTAGTGACTCGAAACCATATGCTGCTGCACTGTAATATTTGTTTGGTTGCAGGGTGGTGGGCCAGGGAGAGAAAGCCCTGACATGCAATTGGGCGGTTTTCTTCTCTTATGTTATCATTACCCTCTGTATTACTCCACTAAGTTTTCTTTATATTATTAGTTCATTTATTGTGGACTTACTTTCTTCTCGTTTTGTTAACTTTTTTTTTTTTTGGATGGATTGATGGATATGCAGTTGCCTACCCAGTATTACACAGCTCTGGTAATTAATTACAAACGTCAATTTTTTCTTCATCTTATTCCTTTTACCTTATATGTCGTTTATTTTCTTTAGTTGTCCCAGAATTCATTTCTTAACAAATAATAGGAGCTCAGCTCGTCGCGTGAAAGTACTTGTTTGATTATCTCTATATTATTTTTAAGAAGGATTTAAAGTTTATATCCTCAACCCCCGAATAGAATTATCCTCTCATAAAAGATATATGTGATTTATAAAAAAATAAAATAAAAAAATCCACATTTTTTTTTTTTTTTGATAATATTAAGGGGCGAAGCCCCAAACAAAAACAAACAAACAACCAGAAACAAAAAATAACTATCCAGGGTCTATACCCCTACAAGAGGAGATTCCCTGAAGATCGTGATCAAATAACTGAGCAAGGTGAAACGGCATAACTCTATGACTCCAGAATCCAGTATCTTTGTGAAGAGCAGACTTGGCTAACCAATCAGCACAGGAATTAGCTTCCCTTGGAATATGAGAAAGCGTTATCTCCCAATCCTGACCGATGAGTGCTTGTATCTTAGCCACTATACGAGGCTGACAAGCTGCATTGCAATCAGCAAGCAAAGAGAATACTTCAGAAGCATCTCCTTCTAGTTCCACCTTCTTAAATCCCAGTTGCCAAACCAATTCCAGACCTTTTAGAGTTCCCCAAAGCTCCGCCATTAAAGGAGTGCAAGCACCAATATGATACTCAAAGCCTCCCAACCAAGAGCCATCATCAGATCTGATAATCCCACCACAAGCAGCCACCTCAGTATTCCTTTCAACTGCCCCATCAATATTAATCTTCACCCAATTTAACCTTGGAGGTTTCCATAAACTCATACGAGTTGGATGAATGCTAGTAGTAGCCATAGCCTTCCTACCCATGCAGTTACGAACTTCCTCTATATACATAGCAATTATGTGCGTTCCATGGGTTGGATGCTTGAAGTTAGTATCATGGACACTTTTGTTCCTCCATCCCCAAATGAACCAACAAGAGATAAAAAAGACATCACGCCAATCATCTGAATTACTTTGATTCCAGGCTTTTGAGATATTATTTTCAACCCAATCTCTAAGATCCAAGCTGTAGAATAAGCTTTGCCGATTAGCTGAAACCAGAGAATTCCAAACACTTCTAGCATGCTTACAATCTCTTAGAACATGGAGGTTTGTTTCCAACTCACCAGGACATATTTTACAATGACCAGATTCCCCACTCCATCTAGATGTGCGGTCTTTAGTAAGAAGGCGGCCATGCATTATGATCCACATACAAGATTTAACACGTTGAGGCCCATGCCATTTCCATATGGTAGTCCAAGAATTTTTCAACGGCATGAGAGGGAAACCAAACATGTTATAATACGCGGTTTTAACTAAAGAGCAGCCAACCTTTTGATTTCTCCAAATAATGTGGTCAAATTTGAAATTTACACATGATTATGAGCCATTATAATTATTTAATTCTCTTTTAGCGGTAACAATTCAAAGTTCAAACTTCTTAGCGTTTAGATTTTTGAAACAAAAATTGGGTTGAAAACATAGAGAAGGTCCTATAGGTTTCCGAGGTTAAGATTTGGACACGTGTCAATATGATAAATTAAATAATAGTACAAAATATTTCTGTAAGTTAAGATTAAATTTATATAATTGGAGTTTAACTTTGATTAATTTGATAAACTCTTCGTATAAATTTATAAAAAATAAGAACGTACAATTTTTTTTTTCCCGAAAACTATTTTATAAAATATAAAATCACTATAAGAGATTTGTAACTGACTAAAAATTTGAATTTGGCAAACGGTTTAGACTTAATTAATCCCCTATACTCAGCCTTAGTTATGTTTCATTATTATTCTTCTTTTTTTAACTTACGAAAATTGTAAACTTGATCTTATTAGCAGTCATTATTGTGATTAACAGCTTTACACAATCACTACGATCGTATTAATGCTGCAAGTCATGTATTATGACTACATCTCCAGATGGTACAAACATCGTCAGAAGATCATCAACAAAGGGGTACATATTTCCAATTTCTTGGATTCCTTCTAGTAATCAAATTTGAAATTTACACACTTTAATTTGTTCTATTGCTCAAATTAAATATATATGTTTTCCCACAAACAAAAGAATACAATCTCACAACAAATGATGATAGTTCAGTTGACACGTGAATGTGAGCAAGTGAGATAAAAAGATGTGTAGATCCTTTTTGGTATCATCTTTGTAAGAGATTTAAAACTTTAATTCTGGACTCACCTGAATAAGATTGACTCCATTGAAAATACCTGTATTTTATTAAAAAGAAAAAGAAAAAGAAAGAATGCAATCTCACTCTCAACTTCACTCTCTTTTGAAGGAAGGGAATATTTCAATTATAATTTTATCATCTTACAGGCTCTCGAAGAAGAGAAAAAACCATTGAAACCGAAACCAAGTGACGAGTCTGGAATTCCAATACCACATGGTACACTCAAAGCAGCACCTCGACCGGAGTACTACTATATGTAGGCACATATCTTTCCCCCCCATAATTAGTGCAATAATTGTAAACACTAACTTTTTTTAGCAGTGAGATTAGTTTAAATCATAATTATAGCATAAGATCTGAACTATATAAAGTTAATGTTTTTCATTGAATTGATTAAATTATACAGGTCAGCAAGATCATTGGCTGGGAGTGGCACGCCACCCTGGCGTACCTACATGAGAGCTGCAAAAAGTGGGCCTTCAGCCTTGGAATTGAACGATGACTCTTCTTCTGAGGATGAAGCATCTTCAGCTTCCTTTAAAAATTCTGCAACCCAGCCTAGGCCCATTCCACGATCTGTGGCTGTGAGTCTTTCACTTGTTTATACTTCAAACATGCTGCTTGATTATATAATTCTTCCCACTTCTAGGACTTAGACTTTGTATTAATGTCACACAAATACCAACCAAAAAATTGTTATATTCTCTATGTAAAATGAATATATACATTAAGCAGTTCTTAGCTTTTAAATTGAGTACTTGTAAAATGTCCACTTGAATAAAGAAAAACCCTTTGACCCCAAAAGGTATGATTATGGTCTAAATTGTAACAAAAAAAAAGTTATTATGGTTGAAATGACTACATGTTGGGTCCGAGGGAGTTCAGACATTTCATCTCAACTCCAAATCTTAAGACTTTGGACTTATAGGTCATTATACTTATATGATTATCATTTAGCATATTTCTAACCAATGTGAAACTTCATTACTCACTTGAATTCTTATCTGAAAACTATACACACGAATGATCACTTCTAGTACAATTCAATCTTCCACATTTGTGTCCTCACCTCGTTACACTAATACATATGCTACTATTTTTGTCGTATTGCGGGCCGTTTCAGGGAAGTTATGGAACATTAATCGCAGCATCCCTTAACTTGCCCCGGAAGAGTAATGCTTTGAGAGAAGGATACATAGGATTTAATGGAAGAAAGCTCTTGCAGGTACGTAGGACTCATAATTAAGTTGCCAGTGGTACTGGGACCTCACTTAATTCACACTCATCTTTTTCCAAATGTTAATTTGGTTCCTTTGCATAATTGCATTTGCTTGTTGCTTAGTAATTAATGCTCATCACAGGGGCACGAGACACACAGTACAATTGGTCAATGGTTGGGATGGCTCATGGCTGCTATCTATATAGGTGGTAGACTTCCCCAAATATGGTTGAACGTAAGTCTCAAACTTTTTTTTCTTTTTGGTTTTGGACTATTCTTTGTAACTTTGATTATATTTTTATGTGCTTTGTTATTGCTGATTGGTTGTTGTGTCCTCAAATATTGATCAGATTAAAAGAGGTACTGTGGAGGTAATACTCAATCAACCATAAACATTTCTTGCCTTCCAATTATGAATTACATGTGCAAAGAGCCAAAGATTAAATGCTGTTTCTTTTGATTATAATAGGGCTTAAATCCTTTCATGTTCCTATTCGCACTGATCGCTAATGTCACTTACGTGGGAAGGTTCCAATCTCCCTCCCTTGTGCATAAATTTATTTTTCAAATTAAGTAAATTAATTCTAACACTTGTGTTGATGCAGTATTCTTGTACGAACCACGGAATGGGAAAGCATCAAAGCTAATATGCCATGGTTGTTGGATGCCGTAGTTTGCGTGGCACTAGACCTTTTTGTATCCTATATATGCAGTTCTTGATGCACATTATTATTTTGATTGGGGGGATTTCTGTTAACTATATATACTGATCAATGTTTCTTATGTTATAAGACATAATTTTATCTCCTACATATACATAAAAGTGCGTGGGACCCATGTGAAGCTATGTACACAAAAAAGAAAAGAAAAATAAAACATGTTCCCCATATACTTTTATGTATGTAGGAGATAAAATTATTTTCTATAACATGAGAAGCACTAATTCTATATATATATATATATATATATTGAAGAAAGTAGGATTATGACCAAATCCTTAACAATATAAATGACAGATATTATTGCAATACATCTACTATAGATACTTTCGAAGGAGAGAAGCAAGTGATGATAGAGACTACCAAGAAGCGAGAAAAGCAATTGCATCTTGATTTGTGTAGCTGTGCCTTAACCGATTGATGTTAAATTGAAAAATTAATGGGCAGCTTCCTAAAAGTAAGCCATTATTGGGCTTATGTGAACACCCTTGAAGGAGATGGTTGAGAAGGGTGTAACCAAATATTATATATGGATTATATGAAACTAAAACACTGATGTTTAATTGTAGAATTTATGATAGTGACTACTCTGTTGTGTTGATCTAATCACCTTCAAACCACAGATTAGAGCTTTCTTCGAAGTTTATACACCTTCATTACAATTGTTGATGTGGCAAGCAGTGAACTAAACTATGTATGTGAAAGTATATACCCACACTAATTAGTATTATAGATATTCAAACCCAGAATAGATGGATCGCAGAAATAGAAAAGTTTTGTTGGTGTTTGATAATCGTTGATGTGTTAATTTGCTACACATTTGCTCCAAGCATTTTTTACCATTGAAAATTACCTACTGAAAAAGCATAACTTACTCGATCTTATTCATCACAAAATAATATTTCAAAGAGGTAGCCTTGCTGAACCCACCCTATTCATGCATTTTGGAATTGAGAAGATACCATATTCTTGTTTTTTAGAGCTGTAATCAATTTGCAATTTCAAATTTTCATTTAATTTTGGATCATATTATACTTGCGAATGTGAACTTGCCCTCCTAGTAACACTTACTTGACTTTGATTTTCTTTCAAACTAAACTAGCCTCTGTTCACAAGAGCCTTTTAAATTAGTTGAAGCAAAGTTAGTGAAGGGCCCAAAGCCTTAGTCCATAGTTTCCTAAACAGCTATACTCTTAGCCAGTAACTACATCTTTAATAAATCAACAGGCTGTTATTGGGATCTTTCAAGGTGGGAGCCAGGCTTGTCATCCAACATCTAATGTTGGCACGAAATTTTATTATTTGTGTTATATATGGTTGGAGAGAGTTGTTGTTGCGGAGATTTCATTTGGTACTTCTCATCTCTTCTTCAAGGTTAGTGCTTTAGGCACACAGCGGTTAATTTAGGAGCTAGGTGGCTCAATTGAAGATGTATTCTATCCTCTTTTCATGGTAAGTGGATCTTAAACCATGATTTTAGCCTCATCTGGTGATGGTATTCCTGCCAAGCACACGTTGTAAGAAGAAAGATTACTCCAAACAATATTTCGAAAATTAGTTAGATTCTTCAGTTCCACCATGATACAAAGAAAGGCCGGCTGCATAATTTGCCTACTATCTTAGAATATCAGATTATCCTTTATGCCATATTGCACCTAGACTTTCAAGTTCTAATTTCAAGGCATTGTCTACCAAAAGAATCGAAACAACGTAACAATTCTTGACATATGCTCTAATCCAAATAAAGCTTGATGAGAATAGGTAGATGTCAGATATTGCAGCTTCATGAAGGCAAAAGTTCAGTACAGAGATATTTGAATGAGTGCACATACTATCCCAAGCCAGAGCCCCTGGACAAAATATATTAGAAAATGAAAAGGTATGAGATGATTGCAATTTTTGTGAAAATGACAATTGTATTAAACTATGATCTTCTTTTACCTTCCCACCAGTATGCAATACAAAAGCAAATAAGAAAGCTGATAGAATCCCAAGTAGATAGTATGATCCTGGGGCCTATATTGACAAACACACAAATTAGAATGTATGTATGTATTGTATTCAATTGTGTATAGAACTATACAAAAGACCTCTATTTAAAGGGTTAAATGACCTAATGGGCCAAGCCTAAATAACCTACTAGAATAACTGAATAATAAATAATACAATACTATTTAATATTATATTATTTCTAACACTCCCCCCAAGCTGGTGCGTACATATCATAAGCTCCCAGTTTGTTACATATATGATCTATTCGGGGACCTCTCAGAGCCTTGGTGAAAACATCTGCAAGTTGATCACTGGAATTGACAAATGCTGTTTCTATCTCTCCTGATTGAATCTTCTCTCTAACAATGTGACAGTCAATTTCTATATGTTTGGTCCTCTCATGAAAGACTGGGTTAGAGGATATATGCAATGCTGCTTGATTGTCACAAATGAGCTTCATGGGCTGCTGTTCACAGAGATGTAGTTCCTTAAGCAATTATTTTAGCCAGATGAGCTCACATGATGCATTTCCCATTGCCCGATATTCTGCCTCTGCACTTGACCTTGCGACCACAGTTTACTTCTTATTTTTCCAAAAGATCAAGTTTCCTCCAAGGAGAACACAATACCCCGAGGTGGATCGTCTGTCTGAAGGAGAACCTGCCCAGTCAGCATCTGAATAGCTAGATACCTTTGCATTCCCTTTATTTGTGTATAATAAACCTTTTCCTGGTACTCTTTTGATATATCGAAGAATCCTGATAACTGCATTCCAATGGGAGTCACAAGGAGAGTCAAGGAATTGACTTGCCACACTAACTGCAAAAGAGATGTATAGTCTTGTCACAGTAAGATAATTCAACTTTCCAACTAATCGGCGATAACGACCAGGGTCTGTCAATGGCTCCCCCTGTCCAGGTAACAGCTTAACATTAGGATTAGAGGTGGCAAAGTCGGCGGCCCGACCCGCCCCGCCCCACCCTACCCCGCCATCAACCCGCCAAAAATTGAGCCAGCCAGCCTCGTCCCGATTTTGAAAGTGGGCTCAAAAACTTAGTCCGCCCCGCCTCGCTTGGCGGGTTGGCCCGCCAGCCCGAGCCTATTTTACACTGACCCACCTCGGCCCGCCATCAACCCGCCAAAAAATGAGCCTGCCCGCCCTATTTAGCGGGTTGGGCGGGTTGGCCCGCCGAGCTGAGCCCGTTTTGCCGGCTCTAATTAGGATCCATAGGTGTATCAATAGGTTTACATCCCAACATACCAGTCTCATCTAGGATATCCAGTGCATACTTCCTCTGACAAATGGAGATGCCCTGCCTAGACTGTGCCACTTCGATTCCTAAGAAATATCGAAGTCTGCCAAGATCTTTGGTCTGAAATTGATTGAATAACTACTTCTTTAACTGATCAATCCCAACTTGATCGCTGCCAGTAATAATGATGTCATCAACATAGACCAGGAGATAGATGCACTGGCCAGAAGAGCTATGCCTATAGAAGACAGAATGATCGGCTTTACTTCTGGTTAAGCCAAAGGATTGAACTGCTGAACTAAAGCGACTAAACCAAGCCCGAGGGGACTGCTTCAGGCCATATAAAGATTTACGAAGCTTACATACCATTCCAAAATTCTCCCCCTAAGCAACAAAACCTGGTAGTTGCTCCATATATACTTCCTCTTACAAGTCACCATGTAAGAATGCATTTCTGATATCAAGTTGTAGAAGAGGCCATTGATGAATGGCAGCAAGTGCAAGAAATAGGCGAACAGATGCCATCTTGGCAACAGGAGAAAAAGTATCCCCATAGTCAAGACCAAATATCTGAGTGTATCCCTTGGCCACCAAACGAGCTTTGAGGCGATCAACAGTGCCATCAGGACCAATTTTGACAGTGAATACCCATCGTCAACCGACAACTGACTTTCTAGGAGTAGCATGAACAAGATCCCATGTGCCATTGGAGTGAAGTGCTTGCATTTCATCAATCATTGCTTGACGCCAACCCGGAAGAGAGAGTGCTTCACCTGTGGTTTTAGGAATAGAAATAGACGAAATACTAGAAACAAAAGTAAAATGTGGTGAAGAAAGTCTATCATAACTCAAGAAACTATAAAGTGGATGAGGGTTACGAGTGGATCAAATACCTTTACGAAGGGCAATGGGAGTAATTTCTAATGGAGGATCCGGAGGGGAAGAGTCGGCAGCAGCAGGCGGTGAGTCAGTAAGGGTCAAATTCGCTGGAGGCGCAGGCTGACGACGCTGATAGGTGAGAAAAGGACGGTCCTCAGGGATGGAGGCAAGGGGCTGCTCCTCCGGGATAGAGTCTCCTGCAACTGGTAAAGACAAATCAAGACAAGGAACAAGAAGAACTTGATCAACTTGTGTTATCTGAGATAGGATAGAATGAAAAGGTTGTTGATAAAGAAAAGTGACATCAGCCGAGACAATATAACGCTTGAGATCAGGAGAGTAGCAACGATACCCCTTTTGAAAATGAGTATATCCAAGGAAAATACACTTGAAGGCTTTGGATGTTAATTTATCTTTTCCTGGAGTAAGATCATGAACAAAGCAGGTACATCCAAATACATGTGGAGGTAGAGGATAGGAAGGTGCTCTTGGAAATAAAACACTATGTGGAACTTCGTTATTGAGTACGGAAGAGGGCATGCGATTGATGAGAAAGCAAGAGGTGATTATAGCATCTGCCCAAAAATGAAGTGGAACATTCATATGAATTAGTAGGGTACGAGCAGTTTCGACCAGATGTCGATTCTTATGTTCGGCCACTCCATTTTGTTGTGGAGTGTGTGGACAAGTGGTCTGGTGTAACGTTCCATGTTTATCCAAAAAATTAGAAAACTCAAGAGATACATATTCTTTTGCATTATCTCTGCGCAAAATTTGAATAGAAGCACCAAATTGAGTATTTATTTCAGCACAATTTTTTTGATAAATTGAAAATAATTCAGAACGATTTTTAATTAAATAAACCCAAGTGCAACGAGAGAAATCATCAATAAAGGTGACAAAATACTGAAAATCCAAAACAAACATTGTTCGACTCGGACCCCAAATATCAGAATGAACAATAGAAAAAGGAGCATCAACTCTTTTATTGACTCTATTAGCAAAGGAGGAGCGAGTGTGCTTTCCTTGCTGACAAGAATGACAGTTTAATGACTTAAGACTGGATAAAAAGGGAACCATATATTGAAGCTTGGAGAGGCTTGGATGACTCAGACGGCTGTGAATTAGCTCAGGAGACTCTGTGAGAGAACAGGCTACTGGAGAAGGTGGTGCAATCAGATAGTAGAGACCTCGTGACTCAATGCCTACTCCAATCGTCTTCCCCGTACCTGAATCCTGCATAGAAAAGGATTGTTTAGAGAAGGTAACAATACATGAAAGAGAATGAATCAACTGGCTAACAGAGAATAAATTAAAAGGAATGCCAGGTATATAATAAACAGAACTCAAATTTAAAAGGGGAGTTGGGTTGGATTCCCCAATTCCACGAGCAGGAGCCTTAGTGCCATCAGCAAGAGTGACAGGGGGTAAGTTATTAGAATAAGAAAGTGAAGTGAAGAGATCTTTATTACCACAAATATGATGAGTAGCACCTGAGTCTATTATCCAGGGTCCAAGAGATGATTGATAAAAACAAGCAACATGATTACCAGTGTCTTGAGTAGGATGTTGAGAAGAAACCTTCCTGAGAAGTGCCTCATAGTCGGAACTTGAAAGAGTTACTAATCCAGTA